TGCACAGCCCTGCCAGCACTGCCAGTCTGGGGTCACTTCTGGGCCCCTCACAACAGGAAAGAGTGAGGGGCTGGAGCGTGTGCAGGGAAGGGAATGGAGCTGGGAAGGGGCTGGAGCAGCAGGAGCAGCTGAGGGAGCTGGGGGGGCTCAGCCTGGAGCAAAGGAGGCTCAGGGGGGACCTTCTGGCTCTGCAACCCCCTGACAGGAGGGGGGAGCCGGGGGGAGCCGGGCTCTGCTCCCAGGGAACAAGGGACAGGAGGAGAGGGAACGACCTCCAGCTGGGCCAGGGGAGGCTCAGGTTGGATAGTGGGAACAATTCCTTCCTGTAAAGGGTGTCCAGCCCTGGCACAGCTGCCCAGGGCAGGGGTGAGTCCCCCTCCCTGGAGGGATTTAAAAGCTGTGTGGATGTGGCAGTTGGGGACAGGGGTCAGTGGTGGCCTTGGCAGTGCTGGGGGAACGGATGGACTCGATGGTCTCAGAGGGCTTTTCCAACCTAAACCATTCTGTGATCCTGTCATTTCTATGGGGAGAGAGGGCAACAAGCAATTCTCCAGCCAGCTGTGGCCTGGGAGTCATTATTCCCTCTTTTTGGAGGGAGAAGGTCTGTGTAACCAGCCCAGCCTACAGGGCTCATGAGCAGGAGGGGCAGAAGGACAGGGCCCTGTGCCCCCCAGACCCACCCCTTGGACACGTCACCATGGCCATGGATGTCTCAGTGTGTCCCCTCTCCAGATGTCCCAGTGTGTCCCCTCTCCAGATGTCCCAGTGTGTCCCATCTCCAGGTGTCCCAGTGTGTCCCATCTCCAGGTGTCCCAGTGTGTCCCATCTCAAGGTGTCCCAGTGTGTCCCATCTCTGGGTGTCCCAGTGTGTCCCATCTCTGGGTGTCCCAGTGTGTCCCTCTCCAGGTGTCCCAGTGTGTCCCCTTTCCAGGTGTCCCAGTGTGTCCCCCTTCCAGGTGTCCCAGTGTGTCCCATCTCCAGGTGTCCCAGTGTGTCCCATCTCCAGGTGTCCCAGTGTGTCCC